GTGTGTCCTTGACCTTTGGCCCCACAGCTATGAGCAGTGGAAGAAGAAGTACAAGATGGAGGATGGAGCATCTGATTCTGAGGGAGAAGGAGGTGGCAGTGGGGCAAGGAGAGCAAGTACAGGTAAGGTCTCCTCCGTTGCAGGGAACAGGAGAGTGGATTCTTCTTGAAATCTGTCTTCCTGTGGTTCTTGGATCTGTCCTAGGATGGATCAGATGTAGGTGGACAAGGACTATACAGTATTTTATCTTCCTATCTAATGCTACTTTGGTGGTTTGCTTCGTTTAGGTCGTTTATGGCCATTGACCAAAAACTGTCCAGTTAAGTTAGTGAGTTGTGCCTCCCAGGCTAGAGGGCATTTCCTCTGTATTCATGTGCCTCCAGCCCCTGTATAAGCATTGATCATTTACATTTATTGCAGAAAAGATTAATCTACAATCTAGTTGTGTACTGAACCACGAGCATGCAATGCTAAGAAACCTTTAAAATATATTGACAATCTAATTGGCAGAAATTATTCTAAGTCAGCCACATCCACCACCCAGACACATGAATTATTCATGAAGTCTGAGACTCTTGTTTTAACAATTTCCTCAGCTAATTTTCTGAGACTCGGTTCCCAGTAATTAAGCAGTTAAGGAGGGTGTGGCTGTTGAAGGGCCCTGTGTTCGGCTCTGACCGCGGGTCCTGTGCTCATGTCTGCTGACAGGGAGGAAGGGCGGGAGAGGTCCGCAGCCCCAGAAGCACAGCCCTGGGCCCAGGCCGCGCTCCGAGCTGAAGAGCCGGGATCAGATCCTCAAGCAGCGCAAGAAGAGGGAGAAGCAGCAGTTCCTGCAGAGCGGAGGGCTCAAGAAACTCCGCAGGAAGAACAGGCAGCACGTCGGGGAGGTGGCAAGGTCTGGCTTTGGCCGGGGAACCAGCAGGAAAGGCAAGCTGAGGAAGAGGCTCTGAGGAGGGGAGATGAGACGGCACACCCAGCTGGACTCCAGGGCAGAGGGAGCGTCCAGCTCCCACATGTGGACTGCGTTGGAAAGCACATGGAGCTGTGGTCAGACTTCTTGGTGATCAGAGAAGAGGGCTCTGCTTTCATGTCTAAAGCTGCAGTTGAGCTGCCTACTGTTGGTGGCTTGACTAGTAAGACTCTACATATCCCATGATATAACCATTCTTAAAAGCTTGCCCAGCAATTATTTTCAAAACGTGCGTTAGAGAATTTGCATCTCCGATCCATGCTAGTTCTCTGTTTCTGAATAAAAAAAGTGTGGTGATCCATGTTGCTATTAATTGAGTTATGACAGCCACAACCAGGCAGCAGGCAGTAGGGAATGTTCAGGGTGTGCAATACTGAACGCAACACAAGAAGTGGCATCTGTGTGAACCACAGTTTTGGCACTGAAATTGTACCTGTCGGCGCCTCTGGAGTGGAGAGTACGACTGTGAACTTCCATTCCAGTGAAATAGATGAGCTCCCCAGCTATCCTATGGAAGAGCTAACTGAGATGTACTTTTGCTTCCGTGTCCCGAGATTAGGGTGGTTACAATTGATCACATTCATTCATTCTCCAACCACTTCATCCAATTTAGGGTCACCGGGATAGGCTCTGGCTCCCCAGCAAGCAACAGGCACAAGGTGGGGTACACCCTAGACGGACGCCAGTCCGTGACCGAGCAGAGACGCACATTCACACCAGGGCCAGTTAACCCACCAGCATGTCTGGGGACTGTGGGGAGGAATTTGGGGAGGAACCATTATTACAAGTATGCAGTTATTTATGTTGTGACGGCTGTCTTTCTAATCATTTCTGAAATGCCAGGTGGATTATTGCTGTTCCCTGCGTTTAGTGGTGAACAAGTGTTCAGTGAATGTGTGGAATGTGGGGTATTATTCTCCATTGCAATTCACAACAAATGGATTACTGCGATTTTCTTTATATTTAATATGCATAATAAAAATACAGTACTTTTCATTTTTCTGCAGTGTTCATCAGATTGTACAGAAATAATGACAAAAGCCAGATGGTGTTCAAGGATTTTCACTAGATGGGTTCTAGCAAATTGGCTGACGGCCATCAAGGAGCTTGTTTACCAAGGCCTTAAAAACATAAACATCACATCATTCAGAAAGAAGTTATAGAAAAAAATGAATTTATGTGATGGAATATTCACATTTAAGTTGTGATTAAGATTGTATATAGTGAGCTCCCCAATTTATTTTAATATCATTCAGTCTGGCTAACACTGGGACATGGAAAATCTGTAATCATGCCATGCTAACATAGTCCCTAGTTTTACTTGGTTCAAATATTGCTTGACTTGTGAGCACATGAAATAATACAGGAGTGTTCATAGTTTTTAATTGTCTTTGAGAGCAGGATAAGGAACTGTGATTACTGGCAGTGACTGAAATCATCTCCTTATCACTCTTGATCGCACTACAAAGTACTATTATATTTGAAGTTATTAGCTTGTAGAAAAACCTCGATGTCCAGAAACTGGAAGCTTTTTTGTTTCCAGATCCTTTTTGACGTTACTGCTGGTTAATCGTTGCTAGGAATTCATTTTAAGATCTTTTGTCCCAAAGATGTTAAGTAAGGTTCTCTTCAATATATAACTATATTGGAAACTTCAAAATAAACAAAAAGGGAGAGATGTCCAGTTTCCATCTTCAAAAGGACTCTGGGGCCCCTGTCATGCGACATCTGCTACATGCCCCTCTTCAGTGGAACAGCCTTCTGCGTGTGGTCATTAGATTCTTTTATCTGTTGGAAATAAACACGTTTGATGTTCTTACAACACGCCTTGATAACTAAGGTGGTGCAGGACCTGGACTTGACTAAAATGAACATCCAAGTAGGCAGCTGCGACAGCATGAGTGAGCTGCAAAGGAACAAGTGAAGGTTTTACTTGTTCGGGTGAGCTCACATCCGAAGAAGGCTCCACAGCTGAAACGTTGTTTCTTTTCTTCTCTTTCCGATATGGAATAAACCTTTACTTGTTCCTTTAAAATGAACATTAATTATTTTCTAAAGGTTCAGTGCTAATGACTGCCCAGCTCTCACCTGATTAGATATTGAAGGCACTCTACGCGGGAAGGTTCAGCTCGGAGAGGATGTCGGACAGGTCTTGAGTGAAGAGCTGAATCTGCCATTGGGAATCAGAATGCAGAAGATTCAACATTTTGTGTCTGAGCCTTTTTCCTCAAAGCAACTCTCAGAGGTTGCAATTAGATATTACAAATACAAATTGATATAATTGCTGGCTGCACCAGTCTCGGTAAGGTATTTTGACCAGCGGTAATTGTATTCCGAAGTAGGATTTGAATCTTTGGCATTATAGTAAGAGTCTTAACCAGTACTCCACGCTACTGCCTTACTCATGAAGCCAGGCCGCGTTTAAAACAGCACTGACCCTGTCCAGCTGTCCCTCTGGGTCTTCTATGGACACGTCTGAGTCTTGTTGGGTGTGCTTGTTGACCATCTGGAATAGGTTGAGGATCACCACCTTGATCTGGCCCAAAAGCAGGGTCTTCTTGGCTGCTGTGGCTTGGATGTGGTTCCACTTTGACTCCTACACACCAAGAGATTAAAGACCCACATAAGTTTCCTATGGACAAACTACGCTCGACACCAAATTAATTAAAAATTAATTAGGCTGAGAGCCTTTTGGAAAAGAGGATAGAGTAGTATGATTACTATTAAAATGTGTACACATCACCAGTTTCACTTTTTACTTATGGTAAGGAAGTATGCTTTTATTTAGAAATGTAAAACCAATCTCAACCTTTGAACAATGACAGTCTATTGGTATGATACAACATTTGCAAAGCATCACAGCGTCTCCCGATGTGATTTTAATTTAAAAACAAGCTTAAATGGCCTGCATGGAAGGCATCTCTTGTTTGCTCATGAAGAAAGCTGTGCTCTTTAGACTTTCTGAGGCCAGCCGTACAGACAACTTCAATAAATCAAAGTTTATCAAATGCACAATACAGCATGCAGCAGTAACTGCTGGCAATGAAATGTCTCTAACATTTAAATATCAACTTCGAGTTGCTACCTACACAGGTACTGATGGATATATTGGGACTGTACTTGATAAATGAGTTACACTGGTACAGTAAATAATGGTCTCCAACAGAGCTCCGACTCTGTTTTGCCTCTTTGCATGATTGAAGAGGTGCAAATGGGTTTGTTGTTATAAAGTATTCTTGAAAAACTGGGAATCGCCAGATGTTTAAAACCTTGGTTTCGACACCTGTATTGCTTGGGAGAGAATGAGGCATGTAGTCTTGCTCCTCCAGCACACCCGCCTGCAGGGCTAGTGGTGTCCTGACACTCCGGAGCGCAGGCTTAACGGAGCAGCTCGGCCTCTGGCTGACATCACTGCAGGCTTGCAGGAGCACAGTACGTCACAGGAGTCAGGATTCGCTGGGAAACTAGGAACCCTTTCAAACAGCTCCAGTCTTACCTGGCAGTGCCGTGACGGTTTCTTATTTCTTAGAGCTTTTCTGGGGAGCCCACCGTGAACCCCCCTGCTCTGCTGCAGCTCGGGCGGTCTCGGCCAGAGTCCCGTACCCACTTGAGCGCCAGCGCGCGCGCCTGGTCGAGCTGCGTCTGTAGCGTGGCCAGCTGGTTGTTGTGCTGCAGGATGAGGTCGCTGCGCTCCTTCACGAAGCGGCGCAGACGCTGCTTTTCCTCCTCCAGGCGGCCCTGGCCCTCGCTCTCCCGCTGCAGGAGCTGCTCCCGCGTGGACAGCATGGTGTCGAAGCGGCCGATCAGCTCGCGGATCTCCTGGAACTGCAGCGGCCACAGCTCTTCAGCTTGCATGCTTCCCCACAACTACTGGGGACTGATCCCCACACCCATAGCTCTGGCTGGAGTTGGTACAGAATGCATTGTTATGCTTTATATAAGCTGTTCACTGTTGTACATGTGGTCCATCCATCCATTCATATTATAACCTCTTCATCCGATTCCGGCTCAAAGAGCCTGTACTGGCAAGCAACGGGTGCAAGGCGCCCTGGACAGATACACTAGGCCATCTTAGGACACACACTTGCCCCAGGGCCAGTCTTCCCGAAAGCCAGTTAATCCACCAGCATGTCTTTGGACTGTGGGAGGAAACCCGGGTGAACACGAGGAGAGAGCAGCAGGGGAACTGGGCCCAGCAAGGCCGTGCCGCTCGTACACGATACACTCCTCTGTAATTGAAGGGTTTGGACAAAAACTCAGTTTGCAGCCCTTACATCCACTACATCAGGGGTGACCAGCCCCGCTCCTGGGGAGACACATACTTGAAAGTAGTGGTAATTTCACCTCTCAAGTAAAACAGCTGAGTGATTAATTAGTAAATGAGTAAATGTGGATTAGTGGATTAAAGAACAAAAGATGAAAACATGCACGTTAATCCAGTAACTGATTTTTACAAAAATGATATGATATCTTGATTGATGTATATTAATATTAATTCCTTGTTTTTCCATATTCCATGAAGTCAAACACCCGGGCTGACCTTCTCAGACTTGTCGGTGGCGCTGACCAGGTACGCCCAGTAGATGGCGTTCTCCTTCACTTTCCCCTCTAGCCGCTCCCTCCAGGCCTGAAGGGCGGCGATCTCCTGAGACAGCTGCTTGATTTCGCGGTCCTTCTGTCGCGCCATGTTCCTCTCGGCCCGCGCTTTCCTCACCGCTCGGCTCTGCTTGGAGTCGTTCTCCTGAGGCCCACACACACACAGTTAACAAGTTCCATTTATTGGCAAAACCGTCTCGAAGTCGAGGTTAAAAGAGATGTCTTCACAAGCCTGCTTGTTTACCATGTCACAGGGCTGCCTCGTTCAGAATCGCAGAACATGGCGCTGCGCACACCTGGGGGTTTGTCTATTTTGTGGCGTAAATTGGAGGTTTCACAAGTTACTGTTTACGTTTTACTTCCACTGTGGTTTGAAATGCTCTCATCATTGCCGATTTTTTCTAACCCCCGAAATATAAAACTAGGGCTGCGGTTCCCCTGGAAGACTTGGCTTCAGATCAGACTGCGGTTCAGCTGAAGGATCAGGGTCAGGGGGCTCCTCAGTCCTGCTGTTTACAGTGGGGGTCCCTATAATGATTTGAAAAGGGGTCTGTCTTAAAGGGCTGAGAGCCTGTAATTTATTTATCATCTGCTATTTATAAATCACTATTTTAAGCCACAATGCCCAAAACAGGTTATATCTGTATATATTAACCAGAGCTCCTCAGAGTGTATCGGGGTCTGTGTGTAGGTGGCTATGAGAACCGGCTGGTGTGGATCCAGCGCGAGCTCTAACCCCTCGGGCTCACTTTCAGGAACTTGTCGAACTTGAGGAGGGCTTCCTTCAGCATCTCCTCCTTCTGCCCGAGCTCCTCCCTGCGCTGCTGCAGCCTCTCCAGCCTCATCTGGAAGTCCTGTGGGCAGAAGGCTGGCTGTGGTCAGCGGCCCGCAGACAGCGCCCAGCTCCCACCCACCTCCCGAGCCACAGGACAGCTGACATTTCACACACCTAACAGCAGGCTGAAGTCTGGATACTGGAAGCATTTCTTTTCATCCATCTGTTTTCATCAATGCTTTTGGAATTTCATCAACAGTTATATAGTGCTGCACAACATACACAAATATGAACTAGACTACTCTCATCTATTTATTTGTGGATAATTGCTGCTGGGTAAGTGTTGCTCTCTGGTTTCTCATTTGCAGATGTGGTCGTTTCGTTGTGCCAAGATTTTAAGAAATAATTTAACTCAGGCTTTTAACTGGGCAGATCCAGGCCCCTTCTGATGACGTATCTCCATGCTCCGCGGAGCCACGCACCGGCGCACCTCTTTCCGCGTGGCCAGGGTCTGCTCCACTTCCGCCACCTCCCTCCTCTGCTGCAGCAGGCGCGTGGCGGTGGTCAGCTGGTCGTCCTCGCGGGGCGGCATCTTCCTGCACACAGGCACGAGAACCCGGGAGCAATTCCACCGGAATTCGCCATTTAGATTGAGACCCCAGTGAACCAGTGTTTTTATAATACAAGGAAAAGATTGCAGCTAATTACAGTGTGCTGCAGGCTATTTGTGTTTACTGTCAGGAAAACAAAGTTTATTTTGGTGTTTGTGGGGCCAGCAGGGGGTGCTCACCCTGTGGTCCATGTGGGTCCTAATGCCCCAGTATAGTGACGGGGACACTATACTGTAAACAGGCGTAAAACCGAGGTCCTGACTCTCTGTGGTCATTAAAAATCCCAGGGCGTTTCTCGAGTAGGGGTGTAACCCCGGCATCCTGGCCAAATTTCCCCATCGGCTGTTATCAATCATGGCCTCCTAACAATCCCCCTCTGTGAATTGGCTTCATCACTCTGCTCTCCTCCCCACTGAGAGCTGATGTGTGGTGAGTGTTCTGGCGCACTATGGCTGCCATCGCATCATACAGGTGGGGCTGCACACTGGTGGTGGTGGAGGGGATCCCCATTACCTGTAAAGCGCTTTGAGTGGAGTGTCCAGAAAAGCGCTATATAAGTGTAAGCAATTATTATTATTATTGTTATTATTTTGGTTACAAGAACGGCATATACAATAGAAAACGTTTGAGCGTTTCTCGCCAGCGGTTCAAACGTTTTGAAAAGGTTAGAGGAAAAGAACACACGTGAAAACTTTCAACACCGTGTCTTGTTTCATTTCTAAAGGTCTACAGCTGCATGGGTCTGTAACCAGACAACTTGCACGCTCAGAAAGGTGAAACAGTGTAGTGCTGGTAGTTACTCACACAAGCAGTTTGTCTTCATAGACTGTTCGGAAATAGTCTTCCAAGTTTAAAGTCATTTTTATCGGTCGGAGCTTCTTCTCCTTCGTCTGGAAATCAACGCACTAGGTGCTCGTTTCAGTCCTTGATTACAATCGCTCCGGCTGTGCAGATCCACAGTCGGGACGCTGTTGTCGTTCCTATGGTAACAAGCAGGCACCAGCCAGTCTTCCGGCCCTTTCAAAGAACTGATTTTGTGTTTAGACACATTCCGATGTCTACTCACGTACGCCCTCCAATGGTAGGTATTGGTATAGCTACTCACGGTGTCGTGAAAAGAGATGTTTGACGTTTGCAGTGAGATGGGCTGACCAATCGGCGGTATCTAGGGGTTACCCGGATTCGGCTTTTATTTGAGCTATGAAGTTCATCCTGCTAAGTAATAATGATGCCTTACAATAGCTCTTTTCTGGGCACTCCACTCAAGCACTTCACAGGCATGGACAGAAAACTCCTGTCCTCTGTAAATCACACTAACTGAACATTGAATAAAGAGCACGCTTTAAAGTTCATGCAATAAGGCGGATTGTTTTTACAGGTTATCAGGGATTTATTGCTTTGGTGTGGTCCAGTTTTTAATCTTAGATTCACCGATTCAAAGGAGCCTTCGCTTGCATAGTGCTGTAGCTGAAGAAGTCACTCCCCAACTCTCTAGCTAGGAAAATAGTTCAGCATGCTCCAGAGGTTGCCATAGAGCTGGCAGTGTAGTGTTTTGACATGGATTGGCGTGGTGTCCCCTGGCCAAGCTACATTACATGCACATTTCACCAGACTTCACTGGAAGTGACGTCCATTGTTTGGGCACCGACATGGAGATACTGTATCTTCCTTTCAGAAAACAAATATGGGGAAAAACAAACTCATACGCCGAATTCAATCGTGGGGTTCAGGCATTCGACCATATCATTTGGCCAGCTTGTAAATTTATTTAACCGTCTGTGTTCGTGTGACTTTTGAAGACATCACGTCTGTCTGGAAAGCCAAGAGTTAGAGTGGTTACACACGGACAGCAAGCAGGATGGGCGTTCCCTATTACGTCGTTGACAGGTGCTATTGTCATGGCAATGCCCATTAAAGGGGTGGAGGGAAGCCGAAGAGCACGCTTTCTGTCCAATCAGGGTTCCAGATGTCTGCGCGTCGATTCAGAGTGACGGATATTTTGGCCAAACATTGTACGAATTTCGCGGTCCAACCAATCCGCGGGCCGGTGGGCGGACCCGGAAGCGGCCGCAGCAGTGTCGCTCAGCTGTCTAGCTGTAGCGAGGGTCTGTTACAGCCAGGTAGCCAAGAGGACGGACAGAGGCCGTGAACAGGTAGGATGCCTCTCTCGATGTAGGCGGTGGTCTAGTGGGGTTCTCCTCTGCGGATTTTGATTAACAGGCGGGTGTCAGCAGTGAAGAAGAGGGCAGCTTCCGTTCACAGTGCAGCGAGCCGGGCTTTTCTTTTCTGGGACGGGAAACACTGAGGTCAGTTCCTCGACTGGAAGGGAAAGTAAAAGCTCAGACACGAAACTTGTCCCAAGCGATCGCCCCTTTGTCCTCTTCTGGATGACTTTTGAAATTCTTTTTATTAAAAGAAGTAACATTCGTCCCAGGTTTTCCCGACTCGGGCGACAGGTTGTTTCAGGTAATACGAACGCTACAGTTATGGAGCCTTTGCACTGTAAAGTGAGACCATTTGACCGGAAACATCTTGCCATGAACACCGATCCTTCCTGCTACCGGCTCTCCAGCCTCGTAACCTGCGGGTGACCAATGGTTTAACTGCTGTATGCTTAGTATTCGGGTGACTGCATTTAACAAGTGAAAGTGATTATATTTTTCTGAGATGTGTGTTTTAAATCCAACTGAATAACATACTGTATAATGACCACTGATTTTAATGTTGGTTCAACCTTTAAATTCCGGGCTGTGAATTCCTCCTTTATTGTACTGATTGGTATGAATATGTGTGTGTCATGTACGTGACTGGGATGTACTGTAGACTGCAGTTTCAGTTCAGCAGAAATGAGACTCGAAGGAGTGTAGTCATGTGGACTTATTCATAGCATAGATTATAGTCACCTTGGGCGTTTTCTGTAACTAGATGCAGTATATGAGATACAGTCACCGACCTGTTCAATATGTCCTTCTGATTAATTTATTCACTGATCAATATCCTACAAGGGGTCTGCCTCACGATGTAACAGACTGTAGCAGCTAGTACACACAGGCTTCATACACGTAGTTAAGAATGGTAAATTACCAATGTTTTGAATAAACAGCAATAAAAACAAAAATACTTTAGGTGCTAATTGAATTTAGGTGCTAAGCTGCTATCACAGCAATCTTTTTCATTAAAACATACAGAAAATAATTCAAGCATCAGGCACATGTCCTTGTTAGGCTATTAATTATAAGTTCTATTCCTTTAAAAGGTGTGCAGTTTCTTAAACTGAAAGCTTCTGGCAAAGTATTGAAACTCTTTAACGGAGGAAATAGGATCCATCTTACTTTCAGTTTTGAAGTTTGTTGAATTTCTTATCTAGTGAGAATTTACTGACCCCTGTCTGACATTGTCTTACAACACGCCAGCATCATTACTATTCTAACGTGTTGAGATGCCCATGAAAATAGTGGCAGCAGTTGTGTTGGGGAAGTAGCATTGCTCAACTTTATTGTGGGAAATTCAGGGGGAATTCTTCCCTCTGTCATAGCTTGTGACTGATATAACCATGTTGAACTGGGGGAAGCCGGTGAGCTGTGTAGAACAGATGAATCCAGTCAAGCAAGTTGGGGTCATCAGATGGGACAGTGCAGTGACACAGAGCAGAGGTGGAAGGGGCCTCCTGTGGGGTTTGTGAGTGCAGTTTACCTGGAGTTTCAGACCAGATTCTCCTAGGAAAGGCCAGGAGTCCTGGGCTGGGCTGAACTGTTCTGAACTGCTCAGAGGACTGTGCTCGGGCTGGTGCTTCAGTCGCTTTCACTCACTTCTCTGCTAATTCTTGTGTGGCTGTGTTAATGTGGTATTAAATCTTTTCTTTTTTGCAGAGGGTATTGAAGACGAAAGGATGGCAGAGGAAAACACACAACTATGTGCCAACTGGTAAATATCCCAAAGTCCTGGTCAGATCAGATTATACAACCAAGATACGGTTTTGCAGCAGAGCTGAGTGCGTTACTTGATTACTAGTATGACCTTTCTAAGAAGACTGTGTTTGCTCATGGAGCTTGTTTTTGTAATTCATCTCAAGATCTAATGCAGAAATTGTGCTGGTCTTCCTTTTTAAAACAATGCATATTGTGGATCTTCTCTGTCTGCGTTATAACATTTTCACTACCAGACACACACGCCTTGATGCAGCCTGTTAGTGCTGTGAAAAATCTCATTTTATTGACAGAATCAAGCTTTTGTGAAATGAAATGTGACTGTTGTTAAATTACCTTTATTAGTTATTGTTGTCAGTCCTCTTGAATGTATCATGTAATGGTCCAGTGTAGTGTGCATTCATACAGTACCTGAGTGAATGCAAGTTTCCTATCAATAGGATTTACCTCCATCTTGAAGGACTGTTGAAGGAGATTCTTTTTGCAGATTATTTGGCCTACAAATAAAAACTCTGATTGTGTTCTATACTGTCAGTAGAATATGACCGGGCTCTGTGTGTGAGTTCAGATGGTTATGTTGTGTGCTTGGCTGAGGAGGCAGTGGGGAGGCGCTGGCATCAGTGAGGTTGTTATTGAACGCCTCTAAGTCAGCCCCCCTAAAAGGTTGTTTGTTTTCTCAAATGCACTTTAGCTCTTTGGTCTCTTTTGGGATGTTGCTCATGTTACACACATTGTAGATCACAAGACAGGAGGACATTTTTTGTTTTGGATATTTCATAGGGCTTTTTTAAACTGATGTTTTGTGTTGAATGTGTTTGGTCTCTGCTGGTGTCTTTTTGATGGGCGCCCACAGACAGATCACAGATAGATTCTGTGTGTGTGGTCCTTTGACTCAAGTGTGATCTGGCTCCTGCAACAAAGCGTTAGTCTCAGAGTCTCTATTCCCATATTTACATTCCCTCTGAAAACCAGCTTTAAAGAAATCCACAAGAACATTCAGGCATCTCCCAAGGTGGCTCGTGAATGAGTCATGATATTTACAGTAGTTGTTTGTGATAGTCTCAATAAGACCTTTACATCTATGCATGTGTAGGATGATCACACCATATGAACCGGCTATGAGGGTAACAGTAGAGCTCTCCAGTCCAGGAATGGAGTCTTCTGGGTCTGTTCTACTTCAGCAATAAAGTCAAATCTCATCAAACTCATTCAGTGGTTATTTTAAATAATGTTTCCCTCTTTTGGAAGCATTTCTGTCTTTCATGGGGAGAGGGAAGTTGGATTTGGATATAAGATTTTTTAGTGTAGCTATTTTCTTAATTTGCACAATTTTACTTTTTTTTTTTATTTGGTTCTCCATGTTCTTCCTTGAATTTGGAGCTGGGACTTGCCAGCTCACCCTCTGTCCTCAGACGTCAGGGGTTGCTGGTGACAACTTAAAAAAAGTACAATTCTAAATCAGTCTGTGCATTCAATGGGCATTACTGAGGCATTCTGTGACTGGTTGTGTCTGTCAAAAGGAGTCGGATGTAGTTGATGTATAGGGCTGTACACAGAATGGGTAAGTGGCTTGCTGTGTCAGCTTGAGGAGCAACCCTTAGGTGAGAAAACACACGCTTGTCTGGGTTTTCCCCTCCCCCTGCAGCAAGCGCGACATCCCAGCGGGGAACTTCACCATGCACGAGATGCACTGCAGGCGGAACATCGCGCTGTGTGAGCACTGCCAGGAGCCTGTTCCCCGCTCCGAGCTGGAGGAACACCGGCAGCAGGAGCACACCAAGGTGAGGCTGGGGAGCGCCTGTCCAGGGCCACTGTCCGTCACAGGGCAGCGAGCCTCTCAGCCGTCCTGCAGCACGGCAAACCCTGGGACCTGCTGGGCCTCTGGGTTCCAGTGACGTCAGGGCTCACAACCCGTCAGGGGACAAGTGACTCTGCAGGCTGGCGTGTCACAGGCGCATCTCTGCCATGTGTGGCACAGAGCTTGTACCCAGTCTCAGAGCAATTCAGGACTGTAAACTGAGTGGGCATGTAAACATACATTGAAATTCAAGTTTTGTCATGAAAGTCTATAGATGGCTTTTGGGGCACTGAAGTAGCTCATGTTGAAGTTCCCAAAATCAGTAGGTTTTGCAGGTGGAAGAAGTGGCCTGTTCCCAGTTCGAGTCTTGACTCACTGTGTATTACCCCTAGCAAGTCATTGTTTCTCCTCGTGCTCTGTCTTCCCGATGAATCTTAATACCGAGGGCCTCAACCGACTGGCTCGGAGCTAGTAGCAGGTTTCAGTTAGATAATTCAGTTCGGCTGGGGTGAAAACCAGCAGGTGTGTGGTCCCCCAGGGCCAGCCTGGGTGACCCTCTGCTAAATGTTTTGTGAATTGTAAAATAAGTCATTCATAGGTTACATCCATTAAAGCAGGATATATATATATAAAGAAATGTCAATATTAACATTATGATTGTGTATATACCTTTTCATACAAGTAGCAGATTTTCAACAGTTTCACTTAATGATCAATCATCAGAAGTGAGTTCTATAGGACTGGCATTAGAACAGAAGATGTTGCTTGTATGATTGGCCACAACTGTGAATTATTTGCTTATGGATTACTCGTGTCTTCCAGGTGCAATGCAAATGTGGCTTGAAGGTGGAGAAAGGCCAGATGGAAACACACCAGGTATGTAAGAATGTCATTGATACCACTTGCCTACAGTGAGCTGTTTCTGTTGCCTCTGCAGATTCACCAGTAAATCAGTAGAAACAATAAGGCGACAAGTTGGATAAACACCACTTGAGAAAGATGAATGAAAGAGGAGATAAAGTAACAGTTTCCCTATGTTGGCAGTTCACACAGGAAGAGTTAGAGATCATTATGGAAATATTTAAATTTTGTAAGGGGTATTCAAGTGAGTTATTGTGAATGAAAAAATATACACCAGTGCAAATTAAAATACAGTCATGCCCCTCTAAGCAGACTGTTTGCTGTGGTTGGTTTTAATCAGTTATCATGCTTTCAACTAATTTTATCCACATGTGCAGCTGAAGCATTTTTTGGTGCAGAAATATTATGTGTGGAAAAGATGTGACCAAATGAGAAACATTTGGTGCTATTGTACACTATGGTAAATAATTATACAGATACTAAATATATGTATTCAGAAAATATGCAACACATACGTTGGATTGGCATTAGCAAGCTGTTAATTAAGACGGTTACATTTATATCTATGTCTCATGTCTCCCAACCTTGTACACTGACAAAAGAGTGTGAATTTTGCTTTAAAAAAATTGTATCTTGAATAATGTTGGCTAACAGGTTTTTGCCTTTATAATATCAGTTCCTCTAATTGGCAGTTTTGTGATATGGCCTAAAATATACAAGTAAAGGGGAAAAAGCTAATCAAGCCAGAACTTCTAAATTTAATGTGCATTAAGCTGATCATCGTGTTGCAGAGTAATAATCCTGAGTGTAGTGGAGGGAGTTCGGACACGGTGATGTCATCGCCCTCCCTGCGCGCAGCAGGGACCTCACCTGCCTGGGCTGGGGGGGTCTCCTTTAGCTCACTCGGCTGGTTCCCTGTTGTGTTACGCCGGAGACGCGGGTTGGCGCTCAGGTGTTGCGGGACGAACCGGCGGGGTGGAGCGGCGACGTCACGAGCAGCAGTGGGTTACACTGGAAGAGCTTCAGTGCATTGTGGGAGTTACTCTCGGGACACCTGGAGTTGGCCCACAGGCTGGGGAACAGTGCAGTAGACCAAAGGATGCAGAAAGAAGATTCTCGTGTTTTGTAGCAGGTGACAAACAGTGCTGGAGATAAAAGCCTTCGGGTAGTTCATGCAGTGTGTAAGTCCAGTTTGGACTGGACTTGATTTGTGTTCGAGAGGGTCGTTGGTACAAGCCTAACAGCCCGCGCCTCCCCTGAACACAGAAGCTGGCCTGCAGTCTGCGGCTGACGGGCTGCCGGTACTGCGAGCTGGAGGTGGCCTTCAGCCGCCTGGCGGAGCACGAGGGCTACTGTGGGGCGCGCACTGAGCCCTGCCCCCAGTGCCACCGCAACGTGATGGTGAGGGAGCTGGCGGCACACCCTGCGGTTTGTGGACCCCAGCCGCCCGAGGAGAGGAACAACAACAGGGCCGGGCCGGGCCCGGCGCGGCGCCAGCCGGAGGCCTGGTTCGAGACGAACGCCGTCAGGAATGTGCTGAGTGGTCACGGGCTCCCGGACAGCAGCTCGCCCCTGGGCCTGGGCATTCCCCGGACACTGGAGGCACGGGTCCAGAACAGCACCAGGGCGGCGCTGAGACGCAACATGGCGCTGCGGAACAGGGACCAGAACCAGAGTGAGTCGCTGAACACGCACACACTCCGGGGGGCCAGCCACACCCTTCCTTACAGAGCCCACTGTCCTCACTCTTCTTCGGATCTTTCCAGAAGCAGCCTTTTCAGCCCTGGGGTTAGAAGGGGTTTGTATTTGCCCAATACACCAATAATTACACCGGTTAAATCATTTCATGGTGGTTGGAGATTAATTCAGGAATCATTATGTTCCTAAGCATCCCCCCAAATAAAATACTGAAGTCTCTTATCTGAAGATGGTTATTTTAGCCAAGAATATGCATGAGGAAATGAAAATTATGATTAGAAATGATCATTTTGTTGCATTTTGTTTGAAATTGATCAGATTCTCATACTCTTTATATTATAAGTGGGGGAAAAATTGCAAATGAGTGCTTGTGAGTGGGAGTTAGGGCCCCTAGTTAGACCTGTAATCACTGTGAAAAGTAATTCACCGACTGGTGTAGCTAAGACCACTGGCTCCCTGATGCACACAGTGGGGCCCAGAAGTATTGTGAGGAACATTGCACACTGACTGAGTAAAATTGACTTAGACTCCACTTGAAGGAGTCATGATGAGTACCTTTACACACAGGCAACAACAGGAATACAGCAAAGTTTAACTGTTACTCTGCTACTTTTCTAGCTGCTAAGGTTGAGAATCTGGCACGCAACACAGGCTGGCAAGGAGCGGAGACCCCAGGAGACGAGAGCTCGGAGCTCGACTACATGCTGGCCCTCAGTCTGCAGAGTGACCACAGCCATGACACCTGGGTGGACAGCTGGGTGCACAGCTGGGAGGGCAATGGGAACAGGACGGCTGAGGCTACTGAAGTTCTCACAGACAGCCTGTCCACCCTGATCCAGCCCTTCATCTCGGAGCCTATTGTCGGGCCTGACAACAACACGCTGGATAGAAGGAGTGAGATTTCTCCGCTGTTCCGTCAGATCTTTCCTTCCTTATCGTTCGTATCCCAATGGTTTTCTTGACGTCTGTGAGCTCTTGTTTTCCTACCCGGTCTACTGTACAGTAATATAGTAACAAAACGCAGTAACAGTGCACCAGGCAGTTCTTTAAGTGGGAGCTTGGTGAATGGGTTCCCCACACAACCGAGTATGACAGGGACTGCAGTGCTGGGATTTGGGGACTTGGCAGTGACCTCAGTTTGTTGATAGTAGTGTTTCTAGTGCTGTTGGTGACACACATCAGCCCTCCGTTGAATGGTAACTAAGCTTTTAGCACTTGCTGCTGCTTCGTGCTGCTAGTGCAGAGCTACCTTCTTTTGGATTATGGCTGAACACATCTAAGACAGAATGGAGAATGTCCAAATCGGAGTGCTCATGGCTCATGTCCTCTCTCTCCTTCCCCGGCAGCTGACTCCATGCTGCCCTGCGAGTTCTGCGAGGAGCTCTTCCCAGAGGAAGACCTCATTCTTCACCAGGTGAGGGGCCTTCCTCTTTCCTCCCAGCTCTCACTCTCGTCCTTCTGTTGTTCCTTTGTCTCCTCTTCACTGTCCCTCACGTGTGAACGCTCTGTCCAAGATGGTGTCTGTGGAGAGAGACCTTGTTCGTGCTTCCACTGTCAGCAAAATTATAAACAACACTGGGATGAGCTGCTCTTTAAAATAGCTTGCATTTTTCCTTGTTTGACCTTTCACTTAGTATTCAGTGACTTAAATTTTCTACTACTACAAGTGTAACAAAACATCAAGCACAAGCGAGGCACACACAAGCATGCTTGTTTTTTCTCTCATAAGTTGGCCTTGTGGATCACTAAGACTGCAGTACAGGCAGTGTTCAGGAAAGACACAGGAGTAAAGGCAATTTACTTAAAAAAATCTAATTAAATAAAAGCTCTTTTAAAATTTAAATTACAGCTCACGTATACTGTACTTTTACATTTGAAACAGCTTAACGGTGTTAAACAAAAGATGTCTCAAATATTAACTAAATCTTTAAAAGCTCAAAAGCTGTATTGTGGAATTTTGTAATGTAACAAATTCCAAACTACTGACGGGAGTAAGGAAAGGTTATTCCGGAGCATGATTCCAGCAGGAATGTTTGGAAATCAGACTTGCTGCTGATGAAAGGAATAGATTTTTACACTGAGAACAAGATAAAGAGCAGGTAGCTGGGTACGAATTGTTTACTACTGGAGCTGTTTCAAACGTTTTACTTTCTATTGTGATGGAAAGTGTGCAGGTGGTGAATGTCAGGCTGCTGGAAGTGTTCAGCCTCACAGACGGGCCCCTGCACAGACACCCTCAGAGGGAGGGCAGGGGACATGCAACTTTGAATAGGTTGTTGGGACGTGAATATAAAAAAAAATGACAGGCATGCTACTGACATAGCGTTCACAATGGGTGATCCCTGCTTTTCTATAGTGAATAGTTTACAGCGGACATAAACCTTCTTTTGTTTACATTTTTGTGTGTCCACAAGATATTCTGAAGCATACCCTATTTTCAGTAATGTAAACACAAGCATAGCCTTTCTTTGCGAACCTCTTTAGACCTTTATGTCCCAGTTGATTATTAAAAGGACAGTCAGGCGATTTGCCCCCATGGTGACTCCAGTTATCAACAGCCCCATGACTCACTTCACAGACAAATGTCATTTTTTTGTCTTAGTGTTGGCAAGCTATGGAGCACATTGTTGCACATTATAAACTTGGTTGATAATCGTCCTATAAAAACAAAATGCTAGGTATTTCAGCCCCACCTTGTTATATCTTGGGTCCCTGGAATTATTTGCTGGGTTACGTCCCTGAATCCAGCCCTGGTAATTTAGTTGTGTCTGTGTGTTCGCTGAGTTTTCTGTGAATTGTTACTTTAAAACACTCTTGATCAGAATAAGAAAAAATGCTATTTATTAATGTAGTCACACAGTGATTGTATTTGATTGTAACTAATTCAACAGGAAACAGTCCTAATTCCCAATGTGTGGTTAATTCTAAGAGACCGCAGGACAGGGAGGTTTGTGGTTGACAAGTCAGGTGTTCTCCACCTGTGTTTGCAGACTGGCTGCAGTCCCGCCAGCGCCCTGGCCTCCTTCAGCAAGCAAGGCGGGTCCCAGCAGGAGGGCCCCAAGCCACTCGATGGGGCCCCCAGCAACAGCACTTCTCTCTGGCCCCGGTTGGACTCTGTCTTCATCCCCTGCGAGTTCTGCGGAGTGACTCTGGAGGAGGATGTCGTCTTTCACCACCAGGTGTGTCTCCCTCCACTTGTTCCTGGAGCTCGGACTGTGCGGGTGAGCTGCAGCTGCAGCCGAATATTCTCACGGACACCGGCCTGCCACAGCTGCTGGAAACACACGATACAGCAAACTGCAAAGACACGTCACGGGGAACTATAAGTGGATTCAAATATATTTAAGAGAGGAGGGAGTTTCAGTCGTGGCGAGGGAAGAGTGAATTGACATATTTTAATTGCCATTTCCTCGCAGTGTTGTCTTTACTGACTGCTATGATGCTCCGTAGGTCATAATGCAAAAACTGTGTAAGTGCAGATTGCTTAATTTGTAAGAAAGTGATTGTGCAAAAAAATGACCCAGTAAGGTAATAAATTGACCTACACTGTAGCAATTTTTCATTTACACATCTGAAACCCTTGAAAGTTCAGTTTCTTGGGCAAGAGCGTCCAGCTGATTTCCCTTGAAAGAACAGTCTGACGGTTTATATACAAGAGTCAAGATGTAATGCGTTTGTAACTTTAGGATAAATGTGACCTCCGACCCAGAGCTGCCTGCTCCGTGGAAAGGCCTTCTCTGCAGAAAGCACTTCCTACCAAAGAGGATAATCTAGACAGATGCTCTTCAGAGCTACTGAGGAGACGATTTGGGCCCCAAGGTGAGAGAACCGCTGTAGTGGGTCTGTTTGTACATCTCTGTGATGCCCCTGTTTTGTTTTTATCTGTGTATTTGTTTGCCACAATCGCATTATGGCCAGTCCAGCACTCAGACCACTGTGGACACTGGGGCTGGACCAGGGGTGGGCACTGTGGACACTGGGGCTGGACCAGGGGTGGGCACTGTGG